ACTACCAATTAAAAAAAAATACAAAACAATTCATTAAAACATGTAAAATATCACGCACCAACGAACATTGGTCGGTATTGATTTCAATTAAAAAAAAAATACAGACAAACATGAGAGACAGAGAGGATGCCAGACAGATATTGTACAAAAGAAAAAGAGAAAGAAAAACCACACCGCTTATCGAATAATCAAATAATTATCGAGAGGAATGGAATTGAAAATATCATTTCTGGATGTAACCGTACTCCCCTATTTACATTTTCAATCAGCCGAATCTGATTCTCTTTCAAAACAAAAATCCATCGACTAATTGGTTTGACAACTACGAAATAAAATTATATAACGTGATGTTTTATTTATAACAAAAAAAAGCTATTCAAAGGAATCTATAAATTTAATTTTAACTCAAAAATATTTATTTAAAAAAAATGAATCCGTCATTTCATTGACCAGCGTGGTAAATTCATTTTCAACAAAAAGAAATAACGTCGTTTCTGTGGAATTCATTTATCGATTTTATTTCCAGTTATTTGAATTATTTTTCAATTTGTTCTCCTTTTGAGCGGAACATTTGAGCTGGCAATACACCCCAATTTGGAATGATGCATGATGTGACATAGTTTTTTTTTATTCTCATTCCCAATAAAATTCAAATTATTATTTCTTTCGATTGGGCACAGCGATGTGATAATAAAAAGAATTTCGTTGGGCAGATGTCGAAAATGATATTATATATGCATGTGAATCAATAAGGCATTTTTTGAAATGGAAAATTTCAACCAGAAAAAAAATTGTCGACTTCTCTTGAAGCTCTTATTCAAATTGAAAAAAAAAAAAAAAATCAATAGATTCTCTAACATTATCCCGTCCTGAAAAAAAAGGGTTTATTGAAATGTTGACCGATGCGTATATGCTGTATGGCATTTTTGTGTTAAAGTGTTACAAATACAATAAATTACACTTATCTCAAAGGCTACATATTGAAGCTTAACCACACGTTAACATGTTTACCTTTTTTCTGTCAATTTTTTCGACTATATTTTTCTCATTCACAATTTGAATTTTTTCTGTATGCCAAATGTATCGAGTTTAAAAATGATATTGAAAGAGTCACCAGGATCAAAAGGACAATGATTCGAAGGAAAAAGAATGAAAGAAAATTGTCATTCAAAAATATAAAGAAATGTCATCATCAAAATCAAACCGTTCATAGGTTTTGAATTGTTGTTTGATTTGAATTTAGATTTTTTTTTTCTTCCATTTTCATCTAAATTCATTGTACGATTATTACTATTGCCAATATTAACATTTTGTTATTTCGCTTTGCGAAGCATAAATACATTTTCGTATGGGTGCCATTTTCATTTTGTTAAAAAAGTAGACAAAATATCATATGCGTTGCGAGACCTTGACATGATGAAAGAGGTTTGCAATGCAAAAAAAAAGAGAATCACACGCGGTGATTCGAAATACCTTCATAGTAGTCACCATAAAATGTACTATATCTGAATTTCGTGTATTAAACTGTAGTGGCAATGCATAGTAATGGGAGAAGATTCTTTTGCGTTTATTTACGTTGCACACTTGTTTTTATTTGGTGATTCGTTGTCGAATATAAATTGTGTGTAATGTGCGTTGTATATATTTTACTTGTGTTGGGTTGCGAACCAAAAAAAAAGAGAGAAAATCATCGTTGTACCTCTTTGCAGATATGCGAATGTCGGAGTCATAGTGTTGATCCTGTTCTCGGATAAATACACATAAATTTGAACGGTAGCGGTATAATAATAAAAAAAATAAACATATAAAATGAAAGCATTTGAAATGGGAAAAAATCACGTAGGCGCATTGATAGCAATTTCAAATGAAGAGGAAACGCATTGTTCTTACGTAACATCACCGTTTACAATTGCAAAAGTCAAATAAATATTTATATGCCCGTATGTGTATGTGCACCTGCACAAAACATTCACATATACGAATTGGCTTGGCAAGATTGTGCACTTAAAAACCGTTCATGCTCTTCGAATCGAAGACTATGATTTGATTCGGCATCCCTTTTGTCGACATTAATTTTCCGGTGGAACAACAAAGAAGCAAAAATGCCCATGTTTCGAAATATCGGCACACAATTCGATATTGAAATAGAAAAGCAGATTTATTAGGTAAATATCTTCTCCTTTTTTTTGGTATTATCTCAATGTTCGGTCGCTGTAATTCCTGGCTGTGTGCACAAAAATTGAACGGCTGAATCACAATTTACTTTACCCCATTTCAATTTTTCAATCCACAATTCTTAAAACGAAAAAAAAACCAACGTTGAGGTTTTTGATAAAACCTTTTCCATTGATTTTTTCTTTGGATCAAATCAATCGCTTTAGTCTCTACAATGAAACCATTGCGAAAACTATATTGGATGTCACCGACGAGAGTTGACAGATTAAATTATCGATGAAATTCTATTTATCTTGGGGTTTCTCGACTGTATATTGATTTGACCGAACTGTGCTAATCTCACCAACGCGACCAACGATCGAAAATGATCTCTTCTTCAATGCTCGAATTTCCTTTAGTCTCTTTCATTTCCGCTGCTCCATTCAAATACATGAAACGAATGTATGGAAACGGAAAATCACGAAAATAACTCAACAATAAACGATGTCCTTATGTATTTTTAACTTGAATTTCGTTTTTTTATGTTTATTGAACGAAAAACTCGTGGTTAACGCAACGTGAAATCCTTTTTTGTATGCAAAAAAATACCACTTATTTTACCATAAAATCTCTATACACCAGTAAAGAGAAGAAAGTAAATAAAAAAATGCATTTCTATTTATAACTGAATATAAAGATTTTTTTTTCTTGGTTCGCATGTCAAATATGAGTTTTTGATGACTAGAAATGGCAATAAAAACGGAATCTGTTTGAAGTGCGTCCATGCGGAATGCATTTTTTACTCAAGTTTTTTTTTCGAATAAAATCAAAAAAATGTACATTTAAAATAAAAAAAAGTAAGTTTATTACAATTTAATCGAAAAAAATCAGCAAATAGATTTATTTATTGGTTGTTTTCATTTATGGTGTTCTAAATTTATGTGAATTATTTATTATTAATTGAGAGAAAATAAAATCAAAGTCTTTGAAATGAATTTATTGGTCTGAATAACGGTAAAATGAGTAGTAATAAAATCGTATTTACCTGTTTTTTTTTCACAAATCAGGCAAGTTATTTCTGCCTGGGAAAATAGTGTGTGCCGCACATCATGACGGTTTTTGTGGCCACCCGTATGCCACACACTGAACCTTTTAAACGTATCAACATGATGAAAAATTTAATTTCCCATTTTCACATATTCGATCCCATTAAACTTCGAACAACGAGTGCGTGTGAGTGTGTTTTTTTGGTCAAATGCACTTAACGTCTGTGTAAATGTGACGCACGTTCCACCATTCAAAATCGTTTTTCGACATAGGCCGAAAGTTAATTTGGCGATAAATCGTTTTGACAAAAGGCAATTAATAGCGTTAAATGTGAAATGGTTCACTGGAAAAACAGGACAGGTCACATTAAAATCATCCTATTTGCTACACAAAAATGGAATAGAGTGGAATGAAAAGTATCTACACTTGTCAAAATGCATTAGCCACTCCAATCGAGTCAATTACAACAAACCAAAAATGCCAAACTTAAACTTTCCAACCACCGGACACAAGCAGACAGATTCATAAAGTGCAACGACCGGTAAACGAAATGAAATAAAATGAATGTGCATTCCGCATAATTGAATTTATTGAAGATCAACAAACAATTCAAAGATGTGAGAAAATGATGAAATTTTAATCATTCAATTGAATCAAACAGTCAATTTTGTGAACAGATTCTTCGCATTCAAGCATCAATACGTTGATTAATTTACTGGAAAATTGTCCTCAATTTGTCAAATAATCGCACAAATTACAAATGACCGTTATGCAAATAACTTTTTCGCTTCAAATTCACTCACAATTTATAGTGTTTTTTTTTTATCTTGATTGTTTTAATCACTTTCTTCCATCAATTAGTGTTTTTCTTTTCTAACACTTTAATGTCAACGAAAACTAGGTCTTTTACACTCAAGTGTTCAATAAATTTGTTCAAATTGTTCAAAAATTAACGTTCAGTCTTTTACACGATAAACACGCTCTCAACGTTCGTTCGAAGTAGTTGCGTAGCCGATGTATAGCACGACTTATCTCAGCGACAGTTTTCCATGAACTGAATGTCGGATTGTTCATTGCCTGTACAAATGATGACGTCTGTTTACCAGACAGCATTTTCCATCCAGTGTTATAACAGTGCGCGCAATGCATGTGTTCTTGTTTACAATTTTTATATTAACGCTGGTGGATAATGGGAAAATCTTTCAAACAGCTGTGAATATCGACAGACTATAACGCTTTCTATCGGTAACTTGTAATACTAAAAAGCTTTGATGATTGAAGCTCCTTTTTTTTGAAAAAAAAAATTCCTTTCGTTTAAACTTTTTGAGGAACCTTATGCTTTTTGGAAACTTTAAAAGGACTGATTTCAAATACTTGCCAATAGATGCGATCCTGTGATATTTGTTTACTGGAGAAAAAAAATCTAGAAATTACGTAGCAAATTTTTGTTTACATTTTAATGAAGTATGCTCCATTTTGAATCATGTTGTGAAAAGCCATTTGTTCATTACAGTATTAGTAGATATATATCAACGTATCAGACTTGATCAGCATGTACAAATTATTGAATTAACCTATGGTTAAATGTGTACAATCGTTGGTTTATTTTTCGTTGGCAAACAAATAAAATTAATACCAAAAATGCATCGCTCTTTCGGGTACGGTACTTTTCCGGTGTCGACCACCGACCATTGAAAATCACAAGAAACTCAAAATCATAATAGCAAATTGTGGCAGATAAGATACGATTCTATCAAATAGATCGGTTGATAAATTAAAATAAATTCAAATCATATGAATTGATTTCGATTCGGAGAAAATGCACCTTCTCAGCCTTTATTTTGAAATGTTGTTTCGTAATTTCCGTTTAAAATCTGTACAATATACAATTTCTGTCTCATTTCGATATCCTAAATTAATTACATGTTCAGTTTTCTTCATTTTTTTTATAAATAGAAAGTGTCGTTCACGTGTTACTATTAGATTTATCACATTTTATCTATTTATACAATGTGTACAGTACAGTGATTCTTTAGTTTTTGCTGCTTCGGTTTTATGTTCTTTGTTTCATTTTTTTTCTTCTCTTTTTTAATTAAAATTGATGATGTATCGAACATAGTGAAATATAGAAATTGGAATCGAATTTAGATATCGTAAATAGTCGCACGATTCGACTGTTCTAATTATGAATCTCACTAAAATGTTCATCAAATTATTTAACAACACTAAAAACGAATTAACAAATTTTCTAAGTTTATAAACTGTGTGTGTCTGTGTCTGTATGTGTGTGTTTATGTGTGTAGGTGTGGATTCATCTCTTTGTGTAAAATTCATCTATTTGATAGCGATGTTGACATTGCGTGTCGACTAAATTGATGTTTTTAAATGTATAACGAGCCATCGGCCGGGCCCAAATAATGAAGTGATATGAGAATTACATCGATTAATGTCCACACACCCAAACCGCCGAAACTAAATAGCTTTCCAATTCCTTCTTGCCAGTGGCCCAAATAAAACCTAAAATTAAATGGCACATTGGAATAGAAAAATACAAATGGTAAAATCGTGATGCGATTACGAATTCTTACCTATCGGCACCGAAACCACCTAAAGTAATGCTAATAAATAAAGCAGTTGACCATCTATAGCCATGCGTCCAATTGCATTTCAGTCGTTTTGGAAAGGTTCGAGCGCCCAAACACAATAGATCTGGTTGCACTGAACAATTTGTCCTGTGAACGACAGACAAAAAAATAAAATAAATTTTTAAAATTGTCGATAATTTGATGTTTATGTTGGTAAACTTACAAATAAACTTGATTGGCTGAATTGCAGCCATCTTTAAGTCCGCATGTGTGCTCCCAATGTTCGGTTTGCCAACAATATCGACAAATCATAGTTCGTTGAAATTCTTTTGGCCCCTGCATTGTGATTTTAGTTTTATTTTTATTTTTTTTGTGATTAGAAATGGTTATCTGTTGTCAGTCATACTTACAGTGCATACCACACTTTGACTGATTACTTGGCATGTAACCGTATATTCCTTTCCATATGTACAAGAAAGATTAAAACTACATTTTATACATGGAAATGGTAATTGTTTACACTCTGTTTCGCCACTGTTTGGGCAAGACGACAATTCAGTTTGGCTCTGCGGATTAAATATACATTTAAAAGAAATGTTCAATTGTTAAATAATTATTTTAATTTAAAGAAAACGAAAAATATCACAACGTACTGGGCTGGAAATCGTAAGATAATCTAAATTATTTGTGCTATTTTTGTGGTTCTCTGATTTGGTCGGCATTTCCATTTGATTGTATGCTAAAAACAGACATCATATTTGTAAGTCTTTCTAATATTTCGATTTAATTTTCTTTCTTCTTTCAAAGTTGAGTGCATGCGAATGCACGTTTGTATAAATAATTCTGTTGTACAAACCTGAGCTGGAGAATTTATTGCCATTTAAGAAGAAGCACATAACAATCAGCAGCGCAGAACGTATATTCAACCGCACACATTGTATCCCAAACATTATGAACAACTCATTATTTGAACCATTAAGAAATGATAAAATCACTCAACGCAAATGATTCAACCACATTCAAGCAATAAATTGCAAAATTAAATCGAATTGAATTGATTTTGAGAATGATGATGGTTGTAATATTTTTTTTAAATTATTTATGTCTCGTTCTTTTCATTTATTGACACTAAACAATGCATTTGGTTTTGGTGTTGGACTAAATTTTTATTATTTGTGTTTTGACGTTTACATTGCAGAAAAACATTCACTGAACTATATTGCATGACGAAGAGCAGAGGGGCGCAGAGATGACAGTTCGTATTGAATAAGCTGAATGACAGTTTGACGTGTTGCAAATGCAGCGCTGCTGTCTCGTTCACACGACTGGCGCGCAAACACAAACTCGTTTCACATTCAAATATGTCGATTATTTAAAATCCACGTTCAAAACTAAAAAAAAATATTATTTCAATTTTTGAAAAAAATATTTTTCTTTTTAATTTATTGAAAAACTTTCGAGAAAATGGTGTTGAAATCAAACGGTAGAATTGTGTTTATCAGCAGTTTTAGCCAGCGTGTATGTGTATTGTACTGTCATGTCAGTTGTTATGTGCGTGTGTATGTGTACGCGGGCGTACTATCTGTGTTGTATGTGTCAGAGCATCGAATAATGTTTTGGCAACCAACTGAATAAAAATACTGAGTTTTCCACCTTAGAACTCGTTTTGCGTTCATGATGTGTGTAAGCAAAATACAGCAAACATTGTGAATGACGACGACGACTGCAACAACAATACAATAAGTGTCGACAGTCAACAATAATAATTCTTTCAGAATATATATATATTCTGATATATATATATCCAAGTAGCTGTAGCAATAGCAAATCAAGGAATCTCAAAATATAAATTGAGAGAGAAAAGAAGTCACAGATTTTTTTTTAATTGAAGACCGAAACCGTTTTTAACATTTTGTGTGACAAAAAACAGTTTGATTTTCCAATATTCGGCATAAAGTGTATTGCTGTGTGCAAAGTTAAATTGTAAATACTCGAAAATAAAAAGAAAATGCTCATTGTATCCTTTTAATTTGTGATTGTTTTTAAATATTGCATTCAATCAATTGCAGTAAATAGCCGAAAGTTCGTGTGAATATCGAAATAATTACGGCCAACGTGCGACCGTGTCTTATTTATTTGGGAAATATAGTTGCAAATGTGAAATTCATCGGATCCAAAGTGTTCAAAATCAAATAACGAAAAGTCAATAAATTGAACGACATCAGCAACAAGCGTGTGGCCGTAATCTAAATGTATGTTTTCAATTCAAATTGTGTGGTATTCGAGGTGTAAAATTCAATGAACTAGAGAGCAGCGCACACACCAAACTACCAAACAAATAAAATAAAAACAAAAACACAACAACACCAGACGATGCAAAAAGAAAAGAATAATAATTAAGTTGAGATTGTTTGTGTACATGATATATAATTTTCAGTTCAATGCCTCTTTGTTGATGATTTCCTCCTCATATCTCGCCGATACCACGGCCGCAATTCATGCCAAAGATTTTGATTTATAGAATAAAATCGACGCGCAAAAGAAGTAAACACAAATATATATATAGTGTATGTTTGAATCATAATTCGGATTGTGCAAGTGCATATGTGGTACATTTTAAGTCGCAAACTCGTTGATTGTGCGTCGTTTTTCGACTTGTTTGATAACAGCAGTTTGTGTAAGGTAATTAACAATCAAATTATTATTTTTTTCTCTCTCTCTCTCGTATGCAAATATAGCAAAAGGGCAAGAAAATTGCATTACTCTGATTGAAATGAAGAGATGTTTGAATTTCATTATTTTGAATCACTTGTTTCCGATACGACAAGTTTAAGTCAATAAAAAAAAACAAGAAGAGATGCGAAAAAAGTAAAAATAATCGTTCTCAGTGTGCAATTGCAATGAAAAGACGCTGTTGCATATCGTTATCTAGACACGCGTTCATTGGACATTTTGCCACTTCTTTCTTTGTATTCGACACAACGGATGACCAATATAGCGAATGCGAATGGAATGCGCAATGTGTGTAGTATACTATGCGAATAGCATTGTCAATTACAGTTGTGCTCTCATAACAATATCCTATCGTGACTCGTTCGCGTAGATGAATCATCATTTGCTTGATTTTAGAATGGTTTCTTCAGTTTTTTTCTTCTATTCGTTCGTTTGTCTGAAAACAATATGCTCCACACATCGCCCAATTAAGCTACTGGAATCAACTAAATTTTGTAGCGATATACATATAAAGTGAAAGAAGAAAAAAAAACGCCAAGCAGAAAAACCAACGTCTAATTAAAAATTGGCTTTCGGCCATTGTTTACATTGCGTTGCCTACACTGTATTAGTGAGTTTAGTGAGTAGCATGAATTGATTTATTTGCTTCGATGCCGATTTTTGTTATAGTTTTTCTTTTCGTTGTTGTTCTGGTTTCTGTGCTATTGGCTCTCTAATATAATTTAATTTAACAAAAGTAATTTAACAAAAGTTGAATTAGTTAGTCCAATCAAATGGCTGCTGTAAATCACACTAAAACTTAATAAGAATTGTATAATTTACTACTTTGTCGACGAAAAACCTCTGAAGCAGGACGACTTAATAAAATTGTGATGTAGGCCGATTTATATATTTTTGATCAATAAATTATATTTTGTTTAAAACACCTGAGCAACTTCAAAAGTGAGGAAAAGTGAACAATTTGCCCACAAGACAAGATCCACTTATTTGGATTTGCATTGCTTGTGGACCGTTTTTTTTTTTTTTTTTTTACTTAAGCCAATCAATTTTATTTAATGTTTTTACTTATCAACATTTGTAAAATCCGGCCACTGACCGCTTTATCAAAAGGGCACAACGTAAACTTTTAAACTCGGAAAATTATGTCATTCATTTTATCATTTAAATTTCAATGCAATTAAATCATTTTACCATGTGGATCATTTTGAGTACACAATTTGATTTGGGCTAATTGCGACTATTTCAAGCTGTTGCCACCATTTCAAATAAGTTTTTTGCCGCCACATACTTTTCTCATAATAAATATTTCTTGCATAATTTCTTTCTTTATGCATATATATATATTTTCTCTTCTCTTCTCTCATTCGTTTCATACATTATTGTGATTGTTATGAATTTTGTTTTCTTTTTACTTCCATATCGAAGAGAAATAAATAAACGTGCCACATGAACAGACATTAATCCGTTACCTTGGTACTATTTGGACTTTTCGCGCGATTTATGGTAGGCATTTGTCGGTATTCAATGTTTCGTGATTTTTATTCATTGTTTTTTCCATTCCGTTCATAACTCTTCGTACCGTCGTCAATCTCTCGGCACATATTCATTTAACGATATATTGCAAATGAACATACATGTGTATTTCCTATTTCACTTGGGCAAATTACATTCGATTCGTCGAGCCTTTTGTTGGATCAAATGAGAAAAAAAAAATAATGTGGAAAAAGAAAGAAGCGAAATATTTTCGAATATTTATAACGTTTCGATATCGAGAAAAAGTTACCGCATCTTGTGCAAGGCAGTAAAAGGAAAGTTTTTAATTCATCGGAAAGTCACATTGAAAACACGAAACGGATTTATTTGACAAATTTTTCGTTGACGCAATTTTCATGTTACAGCTGATTTGCATTTTGTTCGCGCCGCAAATAAAGCAGCAACAGCAAACGGTTGAACTACAATTGTAAATATAAAAAACAATGTGTCCAAAAGGTTTTTTATGAATTTAATGTGTTAACAAAAGTAAAAAAAAACACGATGTCATCCAAACCGGCATAACTATCTTCTGCTATCTTCCAAATGATTTATTTAACACAGACAATTATTTTGTTTACAAATGAATGATTTTTTATTGCTTTAAAATAAATATCATGTTCTGTTTGAAAAATGAATGAAAAATATTTTCTTTTCTGGAAACAATATGTTTAGAACAAGTGACAAAGAGCCATTGAGCATATTTAATTTATACTCATGATTTATGAAAAAAAATCCGTTGTAGATCGAGCATGTAATGGGAATGTAGGGAAAGTTGGCCGGCGACATGCACCATGCAGACCTTAAACTTTTTTTTTCGTTTTTATTTCTCCAAAAAAAAAAAATTTTTGCACGAACACATTTTATCTACATCAACGCTGCGATGCATATCATCGTTTGAGTAAATGATTGTGATTATCCCATAGTACCAATCAATGTGGCTTTTAAATGATATAAATTATGATTGGTTGCTATCATATGATTAAATTGCGCTTGAACATTTTCTTAGTTTGTTCGCACATTCTACATCTGTTGCATTCGTTCTGCATGTGTAACATTAACTTTCAATTATCAAAACACCATTGAAATTACATCCAGAGTAAAAACCATAAAAGAAAAGAAAATCCAATATAAAACGATAACGATGACGACAAATATTATTTACTGTATGCTTTCAAGTGCAATGCATTCAAGAAGAAACCAACAAACAACCGTACCGTTTTTGGTGTGAGTGTTGTGTTGTTTTGGTTTTTGTCATTTTCTGCGTAATTTTATCAGCACACTCACAAGCCTTATACACGGGCTTAACCATCAGTCGTACCACGAAAAAGAATCAACATAATGATACTCTTCAGCCAACATTGCAATGCATGGCCGTTTTCAAGTTTGCTTCGCGAAACAGTTAACCAGCGATAATCTTTCAGTTTAACTTTGTCGTTTGTCGATATACATTGTGGTTGTGTTGCGCTTCGGTGACTGGATTGTGATTTAAATTTGGTGCTTAAAGTGTAGTCACAAACGATCGATTTTAATGCATATTGCATTGTTTGTACAATTTCCATAAAAATTGAATTGTTGCCACCCCGGTAAAGTGAACATAGATCTCTATAATCACGAATAGCAAAAAGGAGTAAACAGACACAAATTTCCCAACAAGAACAAAAAAATAACTGAAGTGAAAAATGGTTCAAAAGACTGACGATCCAATTGAAATTTTGGAGCCAGAGAGTTTGAAAAGCAAAACCGAATCGGTGTCGATCAGTGATGATAAAAATAACAGGTAAAATATGATAACAAAATTGTTGGAAACCACTTACTTTCGCTGACAACGATAAGAATGGAATTGTCCCCAATGATCGTGATCGGATAATCAAAAATTAACGATTTGTTTTCTTTTGATCGTCGTGACAATAATTAATGAGAAACCTTTCTCTTTGAGCATTCATGT